AAAATTAAAATAAAAAGTTCACTATTTTATTTTATTTTAAAAAAATACATAATTTATATATAAAATGGTCTATAAATTGTTTATGTAATCTATAAATTATAAGTTTTTTTTATTTTTTAAAATCTTAATATTACTTAAATTTAATATTAATTTATTTCTTTATTATATAAAATAATTATTATCTATTTTTAAAATTTATTAATTTTTTATTCATAAATTTTTATTTTTTATTTTAATTCAAAAATTTTAGAATAAAAAATAAATTATATATATATAATTTATTTTTAAAATAAAGTGATATAAATTTATGAATATACTATAACATGATTGTTTCATTAGAGCTTGATTTCCAATTATATCCAATTATACTCTTGAATCAACTTGTTATTTATTAGCAAACCATGTATTTGAATTTCAAAGATTTTAAAAAACATCAACCTTTTATGCTGCATTTGTAAGATTCTTGAATAACTTCTAGGTATGTTGTTGTATTGAGAAGTGACATAATATGTAGAAATAATATAAAATGTTATAAAAATTTGATATATAATAAAGAAATAAAAAATGAGATTATAAAATGAAGTAAAATGATAGAAAAAAGTGATGGAGGGGATCAAAAAAATGAAGTGGTGAGAAAAAACATCATGGTTATAACCACAAATTTTGGATGGACTACATCTTGTTACAACTCATGGAATAGGGGGCCAAATTAGTATTTTTTTTATTTTTTTATTTTTTTTTGCCTATTATTTATATTAGTAGTTCCAAGCCATACACTGCATATACCAATCAACAAGTCCAACAAGAATTGAACTTGGACTAGCTCAAGTAGTATGAACTTAATCAACCAACCAAATTTTTATTTTGGTGTCTAATGTTGTATATATGGGACTTTTATTTTTCTTCTGTTAAATTTTATTAGACTTCAATCTTTACTTTTATTTTTCTTTTTTATTTTTCAAATTTCTTTAATTTAATTTTTTTTTATTATTATTATTTTTAAAATTTGAGTTTATAAGTTTATGTCTAAATAGTTTAGACCAAGAAGTTTTATTAAAAAAAATGGTTATAAATAATAATAGTTTATTTCTAAATATAAGTCAAGATAAGTTGATATGAGCTTGAGATAGAGTAGTATGGTGTTGAGGTAAAGAGATATGGGTTGATGTGGAGTGACATAGGCTTGTATTGATTTTTGGACTTATCTCTTTTTTTTCTTTGCTTGGGCTCTTTTTCCTTTAGATATAATCAACTATTCTTGTAAGGTTTTTTCATAGTGTGCTTAGAATTTAGATTTGAGATTTTAAAAAAGTTATTTTTCTTTCTTTAAGCTTTTCAAAATGCTCTCATTTTCTTTGAAAAGAATTAGTGTAAAGTTGTGGTGCCTGTTTGAATAAAGAGGAGTCAATTGCCTTATATTGATATGATCTGTGGCTTTGTTTGCTCATAAAAAATGTTATAGAAAATTTAAAGAAGTAAGATTTGATGTTTATATGTATGGTTTAAGTTGCTTTGTAAAAAGCCATTACATGTTCAAATCTAATAAAGTATGGAGCTATGACATATAGTTGAATGAAAACGAGTATTAGCTACTATATATTATCTTGAGCTACCATATATAGTAACTTTGATTGATTATAAGGTTTTATACACAATATTTTAGATAATAATATTTAATATTTGTATAGCATAGATAAGTATCTTTTTAAATAGATATCATATATTATATTCTAAGATAGTATATAGTCGTGGTATTTACTTCAGTCAAGGATAAATTAATTACCATGAATTCCATCAGTAGTAACTTTGAATGCCTATAAGAGCTTTGCAAAGTCAAGGTTGTTTTGAAGTGACTTTGATTTTTGTGAAAAAAAAAGAAGTTTTAAATTTTAAGATATTTTGTGAAATATGTAGTAAATCTATAAGTAAAAATTTGTAGGTTTGTGATTATACTCGTATTTATTTTAGGATTTTTTTGAGGTTATTTAAGATTCAATTAGATTTTTATTAAAATTTTATTAGGATATTTTTAGGATTTTATTAGAATTTGGTCAAGAATTTTTTTTATGATTGATTAAAAATTGATTAAGTTTAATTAAAAAAATTAATTAAGATTTCATTTGGATTTTATTTGGATTTTATTTGGATTCAATTAAGATTTGATGAAGGTTTGATTAGGACTTGATTAGGATCTAGTTGAAGGGTATTAAAGATTTTTTAGACTTTATTTGAAATTTATTAGAATATAATAAAATTTTCTAAGTTTGATAAAATATACTTAGGATAATTAAAAGCTTACTTAGGTTATTTATAGATGCTAAAGAATTTTTTTAAACACCTTATGCATTGTTTTGGGTTATAAATCAAACTACTAGATAAGATCAAATCTTTTCATAGTAAGATGTCTACTGCATTTCTATGTTAGTTTTTACATAATACAATAATATGTCCTTAAAGATCTTTCTTATGTTCTTATCTTAATTCAAGAATCTATAATTTATTTTGTATTTGACAATGGCCATTCTAATTTCTATCTATATCTATTGTTGATTTGTTTATTTTATATCTTTTAGTATTATACAAATGTATTGCTTCTTTAGAATTTTGTTATGATTCACATCTCCAACACTAATTCAATATTATTCTAAACTTTTACTTAAAAGTTCATAACATCTATTTTAAAAAATAAATTACATTATGTTTTAAAAAAAATGTGATCTATGAATTGTTTATGTAATCCACAAATTGTACGTTTTTTTTTCACTTGTTTTAAAATATTCATATCTAAAGAAGTTAATATTGCATAAATTTTGTAAATTTATCAATTACTTAAACATCATATTGATTTACTTCTTTTCTGTATGAAATAATTATGACCTATTTTTATATTTATTTATAAATGTTTTTTATTTGTAAGTATTTGTCTTTTATTTTGTTTTTTCAAATGAATCTTCTATTTCATTAAGCCAACTTACTAGAGGGATTGTAATTCATCTTTAATAAATAAAATAAAAGAAAATAAAGAAAGAAAAAGAAAAAGAAAAAAGAAAAAAGAAAAAAGAAAGAGAATTAAATAATATCTTAAATAAAGAAACATTACTTTTTTCGTTTGAAAATAAAGTGACATGAGTTTCTCAATATACCACAACATGACTGTTTCATTGGAGCTTGTTTTCCAATTGTCTCCAATCACATTCTTCAATCAGCTTATCGTCTACTAGCAAACCATGTGTTTGAATTTTGATTAAAACTTGTCATTTTTGTGTTCATTAATACTACTTACCCATGCTTTTGTATGATCTTTCTCCATGTAAATTATAGCTACAATGTCAACAAAGGCACAATTTAGGCACTTCACAATTACCATTGTATTTCTATATAAAGAATCACAAAAACAGTAACATAATTCTGTCATAAATATTTATAATATAATTAGGATATTTCAGTATGAATTAATTCACTGAAAATAGAAGTGAATCAGTAAATGATATAACATATTAAAATATATTCAGTATAGAATGTCAGTTCATCCTTGATTGAGCTGAAACACATGTATTATTTTTTTTTTTCTATTTTATTTTTTCAAAATAATTCATTTGATAGTTATTAGGGTCATTTTCATGCTTCAAGGATTACATACTGTAAATTTTAATATACTTAAAATTCTATAAATGAAATAATCTAAATAACTAAATGGCTATAGGTGAGATAATAAATCATTTACAACAATTTTATGAAAAAACATATGATAATGAAATTAAAATAAATAAACAAAATCACACTTCTAAAGATGATGACTCTTGTCAAAATATCAAACTCTTAAGCTTTTGAACAACTTTGTCACAGTAAATGCATGAAGGATGTAATGGTACGTTCATCCTCCCACTCCAAAGACGCAATCATCATCCATTCATTAACCCATCCGTCTCTACATCCATCCAACCAGACAACTGGTATCTGAAGACCCTGCCACGCTGGACAATCCAAGGTCCACATCGTCGACCTAGTCAGACAGAAACCGGGCACTAGGATATTTTGGCCTGCCCGGAGTATAAGGAGTTCCCAAAGCCCTTGGGAACAGAGCACAATGATTGGAGAGGAAGGTCCCAGTCAGACAAGCCGTCTATTCTGGCTTTGTTCACTTCTTGTCAGAAAGTTTGGTTTCTCCATTCCACGTGGATTCTCGATGCCTAGTGTGCTTGGAACCTGATAGAAATCGGAACAGGAACTTTCTTCGGTAACATATGGGCGGTTAGTTGATGATAACCATCCAGAATATAGGATGAACGTTGGATGCCAAGTGGTTGAGGGGAATGGGGTCCACGAGAGCCCCCGGCTTTGGGCATCCGGTGAAGGGTTTCCACGTGGTGCTTCTATCTTGCTTTGTCAGAATTCACTCTTGTCACCCTCTGGTCTATTTAATTTTGGTATCTTTATCACGTTCTCTTTTCATCATTGGTGAGTTTTCTCACATTCTTTGCAATTCATTCCAAATGTAACTGTGCGTTTGCATAGATTTGTGAGAATCATGTACAAAAAAAAAAAGGAAATATAAAGAAAGAAAAGAGGTTTGTGTTAAGAAGGAAGGCCTTGATAAATAGTGAAACCAAAAGAAATACCATGCGACGACGAGTGCTTTGCTCTATTGTCTATTTTTTAATTGCCTATTGAAGCCACCACACTAGACTTTGGAGGAAAGGAATGATGAGTCAAAGTTTGGAAAAATTCGTCACAATCTGTCCAAGAACCCTCTTATATTAACACTTGGTCCTTAGGAGAAAGCGAAGGATGCCCTAAAAACTAACACATGTTGGACAGCCTATCTGAGGTCCAAAGTAAAGGGGTTTGGATTTTGGTTTTTTTTATTTGTTTATTCGTTATTTAGTCGTCTTCCTCGCAGAAAACCTGGTAGCGGGCCATTGCGCTTTTGTTTTTTTAATTTTATGATCGGGTGACACGGCAGGTGAGCACACCAGATCTTCCTCTATATTCACTTCTACTTAGCTTGTTTTCTGTTGTTAGATTGTTTCCCTGTTGCACATGGTGCGCATCGTCTAGGTACGACTCTTGTCGCTGGTATACCGCTCTGCTGCTGTATGTGAGATCGCGACACTCTTACTTCTGCGCGTTTGTGCTAAATGCTCTTTAGGTTGTTCGCTTGGTTCGTTGGAGTGGAGTTGCTGCTGCTTGCAGTTGATGAACTTTGTTGCGAGAGCAGGGTATAGATCGAAACTCTCCTCGTTGCCTCTTGTTGTTTGGATTTTATGCGGTTTGATTCGCGATGGTTGGTTGAGGATGTGCCGTGAGAGGTGATCGGTGCTGACTACACTTGATTATGAGGCTGAGTGTGCCTTAGTTTTGTGGAGGTTTTTGGATTCTTTGCTAGTGGACTGGATTGCTGCAGCATTTTGGATTTTGCTTGGTTGAAAGGGCGAAGTCCTAGAAATTGAAGGGTTGACATTCAGTGTAATATATCTATATATTTCTGTCGTCGCTTGTTAGGCCGTTCCGGCGTCTGCTTTCCGTGGCCTTCGTGTAGATGGATGGTAGTCTCTATCTGGTGTAATGAGAGGACTTCATTGAGCTATCTTCTATGAGTGGATGGAGAACTTTGATTCTAGCTACAATTGCTACATTATGTTATGTTCGATTGCCATGACGCTGTGAAATAGCGCTAGTCTGGTTTAGTAGAGGAATCTCGATAGTTATTACTACCACTCACTCTCAAAGCAAACCTCTCATGGCTCCAGAACCATATGATGTATTTGTGCAACTAAAAATTTATCAAATGGGAAATTTCTTAACTTTGCACAAACGATAACTTGTAATAGCTCTTTACAAGAACGGATGTGTACAACATGCAGTATGCACTTTGAAGCAAATGGTTAGGTTCTTGCAAGGACGTAATTTGCACTTGCTAAACTTCGTCATGCTGCAGGTTTGGGAATTTAGACGCCCGAAGAATAACTGTAAATACCGTCTGAGAGCAGCAATTTGATATAACCACCTTATAGAATGGGTGCTACCGCTCAGAAGGATGCTCCACCAACCGTTGAGGCTGTTGCACCTGCATTATCCGAAGATACTAGTGAAAGAACCAATTCAGATCAGCCGATCAAAGAGAAGAGTGTGGCTGGTGGTTGCCTTTCTGTGGTCGTGCTGGGTGCATCTGGGGATCTAGCAAAGAAGAAGACCTTCCCAGCCATTTTCAACCTTTACAAGCAGGTAGAATAATCATACACAAAAACCGCGATTGCTCGATATGTGGAATATTATTTGTGTTTAACAGCTCAGCAGTGGAGGTCTTAGCTTTTCACTCAACAGAGCTAATGATGTCGCTGATTATTACTTTTGATACTGTATTTGAATTTTTGTGTATGTACTGTGATTGCAGAAGTGAATCACTTTTGGACTCGTATCTACATCTTGTTGAAGGGATGCTTGAACATTCCTCAGTGTATTTGTTTTTAGAAGAGTAACGGTTTTGATTACGTAATATTATATGGCAGGGGTTTTTACCGGATGAGATGCATATTTTTGGCTATGCGAGGTCGAAAATGACTGATGAGGAGCTCCGTGAGAAGCTCCGTGGGTAAGTTGTTCCTTTGTAATACAGCTTGTCATTATGAATATATTTCTAAACTGTGTTGCTTGCACTTCTTCGCTTAAACTATGCTAAGTTTAATTCCTATACACTACCTAGTTGCTGATGTGGCTGATGTCAATGCTTCATTTGTAAGCGGTTAGTGAACAGACAGGGAGTTTACAGTATTCTTATTTTGACTTTTCTCAGGTTGATTGGTGACACTTTTTTATGTTCACATGTTTCTTGTGGTTTAGGTACTTGAAACCAGATAGGATAGATCCTGCAAAGGATCCTGAAGATGTGATTAAGCAATTTCTTAATAAGGTACGTAACATGGTCAGAATTAGGTAGAAATTCATCTGCAATTATGTCGAGTACCTCAAAGTCGATCTGGTTGTCCTCGAGATTTTTAAAGAATTAGAAAAGCGATCTCAAAATACTCTATCAACTCTCTGGTTTTTAATTGTATGTTGTTTCCTCTTCATGGTTGCAGGAGTGTCCTAAAACTTACAAATGCTTGCCAAATTTTCGTATAATTTCGTTGCTTAACCATCTTTGTACCCAATATTGAGCAGTTTGTACTTATTACGAGTGTAATTTTGCAGATCACGTATATACATGGGGCATACGATGCTGATGAAAGTTTTATCCAATTGAATGAGGAGGTTTCTCGTCACGAACAAAAGAGGAGTGATGATGTTAGTCCCACTCGCAGACTGTTTTACTTGGCATTGCCCCCTTCAGTCTATCCGCTTGTGAGCAAGCGGATTAGTAAGCACTGTATGAATCAAAGTACGGTTTGTTGATTTTTTGTACTTTCTCTGTTTGTGAGTTTTATCTATGCCTACACTCACCTGCTTATCGGTTGATTTAAATTCTGATTTATGTGCATATCTTTAGCGTTTTAGTTTGATGGAAGAATTTGTGTGGAGCTCAATTTTCTCCATCTTCAACTAAATAGATGAAGCAACATGGTGCAAATATGTGATTGTTGGTCCTGTTCCTGAATAACGATCTTGTTGTGTCTTCTACAGGAGGATGGACTAGAGTTATTGTGGAAAAGCCTTTTGGGAAGGACTTGGAGTCATCTGAAGCTTTGAGCTCGGAGTTAGGAGCTTTATTTTCAGAAGATCAACTTTACCGCATTGACCATTATCTTGGGAAGGAGCTTGTACAAAATTTAGTATGTTCTATTCGATCCAGTAATGCGTTTTATGTTTCGTCCACCCTAGAATCACTCTACCTATTGATCTAGTTTTGCAAGACCTACATCCTGTGACCAATCGAATTTTAACGTTTACTTGGATTTCAGTTCGTAATGTGTTGAACTGTGGTGTTCTGTGCAGCTGGTTATGAGGTTTGCGAACCGCTTCTTCGTGCCTATTTGGAATCGAGACAATATAGCTAGTGTTCAGGTATACAAGTCCTTAAATGGAAGGGCGCTAGTGGTATTCAAGCTATCTGCACAATAGGGTGAAAGGCATCTGACAGATTGTCTGACAGTGCAATCTGACAGTGCAATGTGAGATTATCATAAATGCTGCAAGTCTGCAATGCTGTTGTTATTTCCTCTGCCTTCTTGTCTCCTATAGATTGTCCTAGTAAAAGCTATCTCATTATTCTGAGTCATGTCTACAGTTCTTAATTACTTTATTGTTTCCACTTTGGTTATAAATTGATGTGAAAAGAGGTTGCTCCCTAATGCTTTTGTTGGCTACTTCTGGCAGATCGTTTTCAAGGAGGACTTTGGAACTCAAGGACGGGGTGGTTACTTCGACGAATATGGGTAGGCCATTTAGGAGGAGTTCAGTTAATCTTGATTTGCAGTATATGCGTATATACATTTACACAGTGCAGTAAGGGTTTTTATATTAGCTGCATGATGCGGACATAAGGAAGCGAATATTCCACCATATAATCTTACTTCCTTTCTGTATCGTGAATTCATTTTGCCAATTCGTATAACAAATGTATACTTAGAGGTGCGTGCTAGCCACTGCTTCTAATTTGCTACAGGTTGATTATGGCACTATGTTGTGGAGCATATAAATTATGAGCTCATTCTCACTGCAAATGACTTATTGATTATCGCAGAATTATTCGGGACATAATCCAAAATCACCTCATACAGGTTTGCCCTAGAACATCATCAAAAGTATCTGTGGACTGTTACGTCTTGAGATTAGTCTGATAGAAACTATCTGAGACTCGAATGAGTCTATTGTATTGTGGCAGCCACTCATGTTGGAGCCTCCCGCCCCTTTTCACACTTTCCTTTTTGATACTCTCGCTCTGTGTTTCCTTGCGCCGAGAACAAGTAGCTCATAATACATCATATTGAAGTCAAACGTCGTACAAAGATTCCCTCAGTAGTTCCACTGAATGTATTGTCTAAAAAACAGTAAGTATGCCAGGAGGAATAGCACATTTCGAGTTCTTCTCTTCCGTTGTCTTCTCTGTGGACCTTGCGATTGCTGTGTTGTGGCGTCGAAGAAAATCGTGGCTGGAGCTCCGTAGTGGTATGATTTATAAGTTGGTTGGAAATAGCTTTCTCTCATACTTTCGAAGCTGTTGACGTTATTGGCTGTGTGTTTAATTCTACCTGGATAATAGTAATCAATGTGGCTAAGAGGAGTGTCTCTGTGAGGCAGATTCTGTGTCTTTTGGCCATGGAAAAACCAATTTCCCTCAGTCCTGAGCATATTCGGGATGAGAAAGTCAAGGTAAGGATAATCTTTCTGGATTTGCAGCAATACTTGTTGTACCAAATGCTTCATACATTTCATGTTTTCTTATTGTAGTTGTGTGATTGGTTTGCATGAAACTGCTTTCCGATACTAATTAAGCTTCACCATTACACTTTTTAATTTGTTTCAGGTTGTGATGTTTTTGGTGGTCAGGTTCTGGAATGTATTAAGCCTTTCAATGACAAAGAGGTGGTTATTGGACAGTATGAGGGCTACAAGGATGACCAGACTGTTCCAAATGATTCCTCCACTCCTACTTTTGCATCTCTTGTGCTGCACATCAACAATGAGCGTTGGGATGGTATTCATTTTTTAACTAAACATATTGCAATCTTGTAGTCATTTGTTTGCTTGATTTTATGGGTTTTAGAAAGAATTGAATTGTACTTATCCTTTTTTCTGATATACGTTGTCTTTTATTGTTGCAGGCGTACCATTCATCTTGAAGGCTGGCAAAGCTTTGGATTCTCGGAAAGCTGAAATCCGTGTGCAGTTTAAGGACGCTCCTGGTGATATTTTTAAGTGTAAGTTTCCCATCTTGCTGCTATCATACAGAAATTTCATATCCGACTTTAGAATGTGTTTTGTGTCAATCCTGTAATTCCCTTCTTGTGAATTAAAGGAATTATTTTCTGTTTGATGTGCATAGGCAAAAAGCAGGGTCGTAATGAATTTGTGATGCGTCTGCAACCAAAGGAAGCGATGTACATGAAGCTCACGGTTCGTAATTGCTTCGTTACTATGCCGCCGGTTGTTACGTGATTTTTTAAAGTAATATTGGGTCTGCGGATACAATCGTGTTGTGAGAAACAAAATACTTTACTGTTACATTGTTTGTGTTGAGCATACCAGGAAAAAATTAAAAACCATCTAGTTCATAAGATCATGCAATGACGGATGACAGGTGAAGGAACCCGGCTTGGACATGAGAGCCACGCAAAGTGAGCTAGATATGTCGTATCATCAACGGTACCAAGATATTGTTATTCCTGAAGCTTATGAGCGTCTAATACTTGATACGTAACTGCCTCTACCTTATTGTCTCATTGCTTTTAGGAGAATGATTCTTCATCGCTGCCGTACTTCCCTTGTTTTTTGGCTGGCTGTACCTTTGTATGGATTAGAAACGTGTTGGGTGATTAAATGTTGATTAAATATGTTTATGTTTTATCATGCGCAGTATTCGTGGGGATCAACAACATTTTGTGCGAAGGGATGAATTGCGGGTACTTGGACTTTATTCTTTTAAGTTAATTTTAATGTCCAATGAATTTTTTGGGCTTGACGTACTTACTGGGATAATTGAATACAATTGTCAATCAGCTATTCTCTACATTTGAAGGATATGATTGACTTTCTACAGTTTTTATGAATCAGACTTTTACAAGTTCGCTCTGTTTTAATAAATGATATGGTAGTTAAAATTTTTTCGACCAACTCATCTAGATTTCTATCAGGTTGCATGGGAGATATTTACACCATTGCTACATCGAATAGATGTCGGAAAGCTTGAACTGATACCGTATAAGGAGGGTTCTCGTGGACCAGCCGAAGCTGATGAATTAAATGCACGGGTGGGATATAGGCGGACTGAGGGTTATTGCTGGAAACCACCTACATTGCAGGCAGGTACCGAAACCTTGTTGCTGTGAAGTATACTTTCTGAACTTAATCTGGCATGATAAAATGTTGACTTTTGAGGTCATACTTGTGAATACTTGTTAACATCTTTAGGAAGCATTCAGCCCTCAAGTACCACACATTCTTTTGATTGATCTATTAGCAGAGATTCATGCAATAATATTTATTCATGTAATAATGTTCATGTCAATATTGTAATAATATTGACATAAAACACTTCACTCGATGTTCAAAGGCTTGGCAAGTGAATATGGTGAAAGATCATTTATCATAGTGCATATTTTATTGGGTGCTGCTTGCATGCAATGATTATATTGCTGTTTGGTTTGTTGATGTGCATAAGTTTTGTATGCATTGTGCAGTAGGTAACAGCCGAATGTGAAGGATATGCAAAAATCGGAAGAAAGGGATAGATACAAGTGATCATTTCGCTTGTTGCATAAATAATATTTCTGAATGCAGCCCAATTTGCTGGTGTCTGTAAACTATACCTTTTGGTGGATCTAACTTTAGAGCAATGTAAGTAAAGTGAAAGTTTCATATCCTTTCAGGATGTGCATGCTACCCTTTCATGAATGTATTTTTCCTCAGTTTTGAGAGTATCCTGCTTGCGGCTATTTTGGGATGTTAGGAAAGAAAGTCTTCGTCACTTCTTGTGTTTATCTATCTTGCCTTAGTGTCAACATATATGCCGTGGCATTTATATAACCTCTGTGGGACTGATGGAGTGTTACTTGATTTTAGATGTTCTTTCGTTTCAATGCGCTTGTGCAGTAAAATGCGATCGTTCTATGTTTTTAAATCCTGTGATCAATTGTGAAGAAGTCATGTTGGTATGGATTTCTGGAGGCCCAAGAGATTTCAATAATGTCAAAGATGTATCACAAATGGTGTGATGAAAATAAAAAAACCACTAGCTAAAATGTAGTTAAGAATTTTAAAAATAACTTTAATAATCAAGCATACCTTCCTAAGTTAAATTTAGCGTATTTCAAATGAAGTATATATGATTTAATTAAAGATTTGTATTTCAATTTTTTGAATTAGAATTTGGTCAAATTTATGTTCTATATTTAATATGATTATAAACTGATCTTTTAATTATATGCTGTTGTTTTATTTATTAAATAATTTATCTGTTTATATAATTCAAAATACATTTAAATAAATTATAATCACATTTTGTTAATATTTATGTTTGATCATTTAAAGCTGAATCGATTCTGTTCATTTAAAGCTTGATCTTAATTAAAGCAACAAGTCAAAAAGATTAAAAAATTGAATAGCTTACTATTATATTAAAATAAAAGTAATTTAAATTTATTTCATAATAGTGTTTATATTATACTTGGTTTTTTTTAATATTTAATGTTTTTTTGTTAAAATAAATATATATATTTTTACATATTTATTTAGTATAAACTATTATATTGATTATAATGATAATAAAAACTTAAAATCTTTTAGAACCAATAAAGAAAATTAAATTCTAACATACAATATGAAAAATAACATAAAATATTATAATTAAAAAATTAAGCATTTAAAATAATAAAAATTATAAACTGAATATAAGATTTATTACTAAAAACAATTAAAAATTAAAAAAACAAAAAATATTGATTATGACATGATTTCAAACATGAAAAATATGCTTAATATTGTGTAGATAAAGATTGTCATATATAATATATCAAGTGTTAGAAATGGAGATGAAGTATGTAATCTAAACCAAATACAATTATACAAGCAATACATTCTTAAAGAAAGATGAAAAATCTAAACATCACAAAGTCAAGCTATCTTTCAAATCACACAGAGAGAATCCAAGAGTATGAATGTATATAGAGAAAATCCTAAAAACATTACTAGAAGGCTAATTACTATAGCCAAGCAAAATCTTGTAACAAAGAATTTCTCTCTTTTAAAACCATATAACTTGACTTGACAAGAATGTCAAGATAAAGCATGATTGATAGACTTCCTATAATGAGAACAAATCCAATCTCTTAAAGGAAGAATAAAAAGAAGTGGTATCAAGTATGCCAAATGCCACCTATATTGTCATGTTATATGTATTTTTGCTTGAGAATGCACAAAATATCTAGCTATGGAAGGTAAGTAGAAATGCAACAACAAAATCCTACAAAGTCTAACAAAGTCTTAAATAAATCTTAAATAATCCTTAACAACCTTAATCAAACTTTAAATAATCCAAAAGAAATTTAAGAGAAGTTACAAAAAAAACATAAAGAAGTCATAATTAATCTCAAACAAAAAATAATAAATAAAATTTAAAGAAAAAAAAAATCTTAAAGAAATAATAATAATCTTAAAGAAATACTAGAAATAATTTTTTTTAAAGAAATAATAAAGAATCCTAAAAAATATTAAAAATAGAAACTATAAATAAATTCCAAATAAATCCTAGGTAAATCCTAATCAAATCTTAAACCTTGAACCAATCCCAATGAAATCCTAATGAATCCTAATTAAATCCTTATCAAATCTTAATCAAATTCTAAACCAAATTCTAAATCTTAAACAAACTTTTAACAAACGCTATTGTAGATTGTCATTTCAATAACTAATGATTGAACCATTTCTTTCAATTCATATTTTGCATATTTTTTAATAACTAAGTATCACGGACACAGAAATACAGGCTCGAGATCTAACAAGAAGTTCAAGAAGAACTGACAAGAACTAGATTAATCAGATGAATACAAGAACAACACTAGAGAAGTGAGCTACAGCTCCAAGAGATGTATTGTCGAGACTGAAGAACTCTTCAGCCTCGATCCCAATATATACTCTTATTTAGGAAGCTTCTCAAGCAACTTCTACCAACTAGAAAGCTTCTAAAAGGTTCCAGAGACTTGTTTCTAGAAGGTTCTAGAAACTTGTCCCTAGAAGGTTCTAAGGACTATGTCCCTAACATCTTCTATCAACTACGAAGCTTCTCAAGTAATTTCTATCAACTAGGAAGCTTCTAGAAGATTCCAGAGACTTGTTTCTAGAAGGTTCTAGAAACTTGTCTCTAGGAGGTTCTAAGGACTATGTTCCTAACATCACCCCCTCCTTTAGCTTCGAGGTCTCTGAGAAGCAATGTTGTTATTAATCAGTACCAACGCAAGAAAATAAAGATCTGTCGCATAACGTCTGCTATGAACTCCAATTGTTGTTCATGAGGCAAGTGATTCATCGGTTCTTGAAGCCAATGGTAGTGGCCCACGCCTTTGACTTTTGACCAAGCATGAACTTTCGTGTCCTCATTGTGAAATTGTCCTACAAACACACCTTCTGGTTGACCATCGTAAGCAAGTTCGAACTCAAATACAATCACCAATGATCGGTTACTCAGTATCTTCCGTCGTCATCGTGGTGTAGGCAGTTCTTTATCTCGGGGTCGCCTTTGTGAACTAGTTGGTTGAGATAATCTGACTGGGATAGTATCTATCTCTTGACTATCCATATCAGAAGACCAAACTATGGCTACTGAAAAAATTCTACTTTATCTTGGAGAAAATAACTACATCAACTACGAATTTTGGTAGTGCTCTCTCCCTTTCTTATATTCTTGGGTGAGCAAGCTTCAGAAAGAAGCTATCGTCAAACCGGCTTAGGTTTATGAGGATGTTGTTGATGAAACTCCTGTACCTTTTGCGACGCATTGGCAAGATTTTCAGCTGGCTCCCACGTTTGTTCATTAATGTCGTAGCTGCACCAATGAACAAGATACTCCAACTTGTCCCACCTTTGCCATGAATCCAGCACCTTTCAACCTCATATTCCTCGTGGTTCTTGATCTCAATACTAGGTGGCGGACATTGCACTCTTCTAGGAAAAGATGACTCTCGATAAGGCTCCAACAGAGAAACATGAAAGACTGGATGTACCTTCATAGAAGCCGGTAATTCCAGACGGTACGCCACTGGATTGATTTGCTTCTGGATGATAAATGGTCCCAATCTTTGATAGTCCAACTTATCACATGGTCGCTTGGTCTTGATATTCCGTCGAAGAAGCCATGCTTTATCTCCAATTTTGAAAGTAGGTGCTTGATTTTGAAATCTATCTGCAGATGCTTTGTAGGATTCTTGAGCAGATTGCAATTAAAGCTTCAACGTATTTTGAAGCTTTGATAGTTGTTTCGCAAATCCTTCAACTGCTGGATTGTTATTTGTTGACGGACTCAATAAATCAAGCTTCGGATGATACCCATAGTTAAAAAAGAATGGTGTGTATTGAGTCGACGCATGGAGGGTGTTGTTATATGCAAACTCGACTAGCGGCAGATATGCGGTCCAATCGTCTTGCTGATAGTTGATGCTGCATCATAAGTATTGTTTCAAGACTTGGTTCACCCGTTCCATTTGGCCGTCAGTTTGAGGATGAAAAGCCGAAGAAAGCTTGATATCCACCTTTAGTATCTCAAAGAAAGATCTCCAAAACTTTGATACGAACTGGGTTCCTCGATCTAATACGATATCATCTGGTAGTCCATGATATCGATATACATTATCGAAAAAGAGCCTTGCTGTGACTCACTGAATGATGTCTTCTTGCAAGGGACAAAGTGCACCATTTTTGTAAGCCGATCTACCATGAAAAAGATGTTGTCAAATGAGTTCGATGATGGCAGGTCCATGATGAAGTCCATGGAAACTAAAGACCATGGTCGACAATGGCTGTAGGAGTCCATAAGGGTGATGCTGAGGATTCTTGGATCTTGAACAGATGTCGCAGGAGAAGACAAAATCTTTCACATCCTTCTACATTTGGGGCCACCAAAAATCTTGAGAAATAAACTCCAAGGTCTTGTTGAATCCAAAATGTCCCACAGCTGGAAAATCGTGGCGAGATTGAAGAACTCGGAATCGTGCTTATCCTTTTGGAATATACAACTGCTCCTCAAAGTATAAAAGATCTCCCTCTACCTTGAACTTGTCATCATTGGTACGTTGCTTGATATCAATGGCTACTGAATCTTCAATGGTCACGACACGTACCTAATTCAAGAAGTCAGCATCAATTAGCACAATAATAGCATAAAGCCGAAATTGCTCTGGCTTCAACAATGTCGTACATTGTTGATCAAACGCTCCTTCTCCAGCCTTTGCTACAAGATACAATCTCCTCGATAAGGCATCAGATAGTCCTTGCTACTTTCCAGGTCGATAAGTGATAACAAAATCGAACCTAGATAGCAACATACTCCACCAAGCTTGACGTCAATTTAGAACTCGATCCGACATGAAATACTCCAAATTCTTGTGATCTGTGTATACGGTCACTGGGTGTGCAGCTCCTTCAAGAAAGTGACGCCATTCTTGGAAAGAATCCACTATAGCAAGAAGTTCCTTATCGTGGATCTCATAATTGATTTCAGCAACAAAGAACTTTCGAGAATAGAATGCAATCAGATAGAGCTTCTTGTCTTCTCGTATTATGAAAGTACAACTCCCAAAGCAAAATCCGAAGCATCAGTTTCTAAATAAAAGGCCTTTGTAAAGTCTAGATGTACCAAGATTGGAGCCGTAGTAAATGCGATATTCAGGTCTTGAAACGCCTTCTCCGCTAGAGGTCCCCATTCCAGCTT